AAGGTGTGGCATGCCCCGAGATGCAGCTCTCAGGCTGGCCAGAGTCGCAGGGAAGGTGTAGCATGCCCCGAGATGCTGCTCGCAGACTGGCCAGAGTCCTATCTCTTTCTTACATTGTGCTTCTTTTCACCATTTTGCTTTTGTAGAAAAACAAAATCAGAACAGTGGGGGAGCAGTCCTGCAGCATTCAGCGTACCGGTGTCCTGACTTTTATGCATTTCCCACGCAGAGGACAGGAAACCATATTCAGGCCCTGGATGTCCTTAAGTTGTTTTCATTTTCCAGCAAAACCAGAAACATACTCTACTGCCTGTTCTGTAACCTTTGCACTCTACAGTTTGTATGCTGTGGTTTTGTTTTCTAGGTTAACACTATGATTTTCCCCTTGTTGGTGATTCTTCTCTGCACAGTACTTGGCCAGGGCTGTAGTCCTTGGGAAACTCAGTTGGGGTGGCTGAGACTTCAAGACGGGTCGTTGGCTGTTACCAGTTTTAAAACATTGTTGTCTTGCTGACTGCTTAGCAGGGACAGGGTTTTATTTCTCTAGTCAAATAATTGATTGGTCTGATGTTCCTGGCAGCAGAACTGCAGACCTGGTGTTTTCTGCTTCCCTCTGTTGCTGGTATTGAGGCAGCAGACAGGTTATTCCTTACCACGCCCCTACACCCACTCACCTGTGCTCCCCCCCTCCCCACCCCCTGCTTCACTTTTGCCAGGTCCTGCAGAGACAGGGCTGCTCTGGGCACATTCTGATGGACATGTTAGCCTTGCCTACGCTTGCGCAGGGAATCTGATCACTGCGGAGACCAGCTTTAGACAAGGAAGCTGCTTTAGACAGCCATGGCATGTTACCCTTCTGCAAGAAGTGAATGGGAAGGCTGCGTACACGGGGCAGACATTCATAGGTCCGGGTGTGGGGAAAGGCTGTTCTGTGTAGAGGACGTTGAGGGTGAGACACTGGGAGAAAGCCAGGAGGCCACCAAAGAGCAAGGGCAATGAACAAAATCTTCATCTCCAGATGGCAGAGAAATGCAAACTCTTCTCCAGAAATAAATGGGTCACTTTCTCTGGTGACTCACCAGATCCATGTTGGTCCTGTCTGGAAGCAACTAAAGGGAACAGGTGTGGCCTCCAGCCTCCCTTAGTATTGCTGTCCTCCATGTCTGCTCCTGGTGGCCAGAGTCTTGAAACCTCGTGGGTTTGCTGTGAGTCAGAAAATTTGCATTTTCAACATTGCTAATGCTGGCCCAGTGACCACACTTCACAGCTGTTAACCTGGGTCGGGAGAGGTGCCTCAGTGGTCAAGAGTACTTATTGCTTTCACAGAGGACCTGGGTTTGGTTTCCGTCACTGCATGTTGGCTCACAACCATCCTTAACTCCAGTTCCAGGGGCCCTGAAGTCCTCTTCTGACCTCTGAGGGTACCAGGCACTCATAAGGACAGGCTTTTCTGGGCCTTCCCTAAGCAGTGCAGCTCCTGGGGGACTTAGTGTTAGCACTGCGGATGTTGTGAGCAGTCTGCTCCCTGGGGGACTTAGTGTTAGCACTGTCAGGATGCTGGCACTAAGGATGACTGCATGGCACAGTAGTGTTAACTTCCTTGCTGGTCGTGTTATCTACCTTGCGGTACAGCCCTCGCAAACACAGGGCAGGGAAGTCATTACTGTGCCGACTGAAACTTTGCTATGTGCACCGGGTGGGGCTGCTTCGTTGGAGTCTTGCTGTGTAGCTGAGGCTAGCCTGGAGTTCGCCCTCCTGCCTCATCCTCCTGAGAGCTGGGGTACCAGGTGTGACCCACCCACCTAGTCCTTTTTTTCACATTTCACTTTCTAGAAACGATGTAGATGTCCGGAATCGGAGGGACCGCGGTTTACTGTCGCGGTTTATCGCTGGGTGTGAGAAGTGAGAGGAACGCAGCCTTTGGACTTCCTGGTGACTTCATGAAGGAAGTTAGCCAGACTTGGTGGACTTGACCTTCCTTCTCTATTAGAGGAAGTTTGTCGCTGTTTAAAGATTGTTAATGTTTAAACCCCCACAATGGTCCTATTCAGAGGTCTTGATTTAACCGCTCACTTCCGTCTTGGATGGAAAGCAGCTATAAAGGATGACCCTGTCAGTCAAGCCGTGTTTACAGGCAATGCCAGCTGTGGGCCAGGGACTGTGTTTGCTGCTCTCTGCCTTAGAAACAGTTTTGAGACAAGACTGTTTTTAAACTCAGAAGCAGCGTGGTGGTCCCAGCCTTCCAAGACCTTGCTGCTGCCGTGCAGGGCGTGGCGTACTCATCAAGGTGATTTTTGAACTGGCTGCTCTGCAGCTTGCTGTCTGGGTTTAGGTGGAGCCCAGCCTGTGGTTAGGGACAGAGGCGTGGCCCCAGCCCTATTTGCAGAAGCTGTGTTATTTCTGCTTCGGTGACTTCGTGCCCCAGGCAGGTTTCTGTTCATGTGAGAACACTGTGGCCGAAAGCATCCTGGGGAGGAAAGGGATTATTTGATTTCCGGGTTCCAGTTCATCCTTGGAAGAAGCCACAGGCGCAGGAACTGAGGCAGAGACCATGTTGGGATTCCCTTTACTGGCTTTCTTTCCATGACTTGGTCAGTTTGCTTTTTGATACAATTCAGGACCACTTGCCCAGAGGTGGTACTGTTCACAGGGAGCTGGGCCTTCCCACATCAATTCCTAACCAAGAAAATGCACCTCAGCCTTGCCCACAGGCCAGTCTGGAGGATGCGGTTCTCTTAGTTGACTAGAACTGTGTCAAGCTGACAAAAACAAACAAACAAACAAAACAACAGCAGCAAACAAACAAAAAACCTGACTGTCAGGCAAGCATGGCTATCCAGATTCTGCTCATCTAGTTGTTCAAATGTATTTGGCTATATTATTAACAATCTGTGCAAAAAAATTTTTTTCAGACTCGGTTTCTTTGTGTAGCTCTGGCTGTCCTGGAACTTGCTCTGTAGACCAGACTGGCCTAGAACACAGAGATCCCCCTGCCTCTGCCTCCTTAGTGCTGGGATTAAAGATGTGCGCCACCACCTGACCTAAAAATGAAAAGTTTTTAAAATGGGAAATACTTAAAGTGTTGGACGCGCCAGTGTCCGTCCGTCCGTCCCTCCCTCCCTCTCTTCCTCCCTCCCTCCCTCTCTTCCTCCCTCCCTCCCTCCTTTTCTTAGTCAGGTGTGGTGTCATACACTTTTAATCCCAGCACTTGCAAGAGAAAGGCAATTGTATCTTTTTGAGTTCAAGCCTGGTCTACATAGTGAGCTCCAACACAGCTAGCACTACATACAGAGACCCTATCCAAACACACACCTTTAAACGAGGGTCTCTATTCCCATCGTCCACTTGGTGCTGAGATTCTAACCCAGGGCCTTGTTTGTGCTAAACACAGGCTGCCATTAAGCTACATCCTCGGGATCCTTTCTATTTTCTAAAGCAAGGGAAAAATAAGGCATAGAATAGTGGCTGCTGATCCCTGCAATCCCAGTACTCGGGAGGCTGAAGCAGGAGGATCACCAATGGCTCGAAGTCAGCCTGAGCTACAGAGTGAGACCCCGTCTTAGACAAAATTACCTTTTAAGCAAATATTAACTTAACCAGTTGGTTAAAACTTTAAAACACAGTAAAGCCGTGAAAATCCACAGCTTTTTCCATGGCTTTCCTGATTCATGGAGCCGTTTATCCCCTGTGGTGGCACACGTCTGTCCTCCCAGCAGGTGGGAAACTGGGACTGAAGGACAGATAGTTTAAAGCCAGCCTGGTCTACACCGCAGAGCTGTTCTCCCAACCCCACCACCAAAGATGTAGACTTAACACAGAAACAAACAGTTCTTATGTTCACTGCAGGGAGGTCTGGAGGAGGAGGTTTGCAGAGTTTAGACAGTTTAGATTTTATAGTCTAAAGTGGGTCAAGGAAAAGTGGGAATCCTGCCTGCAGTCCTCGTCCTCAGTCACTCAGCTCGCTGGCCCTGCCGGTCGCTCAGTCGCTCAGCTCGGTGCTGGTCTTGCAGGTCAGCCTTGCCTCTCCAGCTGCTTCCCCACCTGAGACCCTTGTTCCCAGCAGCAGTTGGCGTGTCTTCCCGGGCAGTCATGCTTAGACCACAGTGAGGCGTTCCTTTCTCTTGGAGTTGTTGGCTAGATAGTCTGCTGTGATCACACTCACCAGGCCGCCCACTGGTGGTGTTTGTCAGCTCCGCCTCAGTGGACAGTGGAGCCAAAGGAGGACAGCCAGCAGGAGGGACGGGTCCAGGAGAGAGCACTCTTGGGGTCTGTCGCTGGCTGTCCCCTTTGGACGAGCCACATCTGTGTCGCCGTAACCAAAGCTCTGGATGGATGCCATGGATCGGTTTAAGGAAAGGTGTATCTTGGCTCCCAGTTTCATAGGGATTTCAGGTTCTCATGGTTCCCACCCTGTCTCAGTCCGACTGCACATATGACTCCCATCCCTGCTCCTGGGAGGGACAAGTCCTCTCTGCTTCCTGTTGAGCGGCGACACTGCTCATGGTGTAACTCGGAACAGTTCACACTCACTTCCAGCATGGTGTTCCTGCTTTGCTTCTGGAGGCTTTATTGGGGTGGCAGATATGATGTGGGGGTACATGACCAAGGCTTCCTCCACCCTCTGGATAGCCTGAAAATGCCAGATTTCTCACAGATGTGGACATAGGATTTGTTATTCTTGTTCACAAATGTGAGCAATCTCAGGTCATACCGGATATTGAGGGCTGCGCTGCACCCATTATACAGATGAGCAATTCGGGGTTCAAGAGGTATGGTGCCATGCTGAGGACTCCAGCTTGTTTTGCCTGGGTCCCTGAATGGTGCCAGTCTTCAGCCCGGAGCCCTGGCCTCACCATTCAGGCTTGTAGACCCACAACTATGGGCACTGGTACATGTTCTGCATGTAAAGGGCCCGTGTGTCACAGAGTACGTGAGTCAGCATTCCCTGCTAGTGGCCTCCCTGTGGTCTGCTTTGGGGATGGTAATCTTAGTGTGGAAACTTAATGTGTTTTTATTTGGCAGATCCTCAGTCCTGATATTAAGATGATGGGATTGGGAAATGGGCGTCACAGCATGAAGTCTCCGCCCCTTATCATGGCTGCCCTGGTGGCCTGCGTCATTGTGCTGGGCTTCAACTACTGGCTTGCAAGCTCCAGAAGCGTGGAACTCCAGGTATCTTGTGTATTTAGAATGTATGGATGCTGTGTAATGTTTAAAGTCTCTAGACAGCACCACGGGCTCCCTGTTCATTGTCAGTCAATTCCTTGGGTTCCCGTAGCTCACACTAATGGTATTTTAGGTCCCAACCCCCTCCCCAGCCCCGGACTGCTTACTCTGTGACTGTTGAGTTACAGTTCACACCACATTCTGTACTCTGTAATTGTTGAGTTACAGTTCACACCTCATTAGTACTCTTGTGACTGTTGAGTTGCAGTTCACACTGCATTCTGAACTCTGTGACTGTTGAGTTACAGTTCACACCTCATTCTGTAAGATGGGTCCGTAGGCAAGCCTGTGGGCATTTCTTAATTAGTGGTTCATGCGGATGAGCCTGTGCCAGTGTGGGGTGATACACATGCTGGTAGGAAAGAGGAGTCCCGGGGCAGGTAGACCAAAGTTGTGCAGAAAGAAAGCAGCCAGACAAGCCAAGAGGAGCAAACCAGTAAGCAACACTCCTGTGGTCTTTGCTTCAGTTCCTGCCTCCAGGCTCCTGCCCTGACTTCCTTAGTGATGGACTGTGATTGGGACGTGTTAGCCAATAGACCATGTCCTCCCCAGGGGCCTGTGGTCATGGTGTTTGTCATAGCAACAGAAACCTACCTAAGATACATATTAAGCAATGACAACGTGTCTCCTTGATGGATGAGCTCCTCTGAGGTCTCCTGCTCCGTAGTTCACATGTGTTACTTTTACTCTGCCCAATCTAGTCCTGCAGAGGGTATGCTCAACCTTCCCCTAGATGTACTGATGATTGGCTGCCTCTGGCAAGTGTCTAATTAAAGTATTTTAGCAAGTCCGTCCCCTCGCCCCCCACCTTGTGTCCTCTGGGTGAGCGTCCACACACCACCCCTTCCCTTGCCCTGGTCTTTGCTGGGCTCCAAGCTTTTGTACTGTGAGGAGCTGGCAGTGTCTCGGTGACATGGACCTTTGGGCCTGTGGTTTCCTCGTAGACACGCATCGTGGAGCTGGAAGGCCGGGTGCGCCGGGCCGCCGCAGAGAGAGGTGCTGTGGAGATGAAGAAGAACGAGTTCCAGGGTGAACTGCAGAAGCAGCGGGAGCAGCTCGACAGGATCCAGTCCAGCCACAGCTTCCAGATGGAGAACGTCAACAGGCTGCACCAGGACGAGAAGGCAAGGCCCACTGTCCCCACCGCCCTCTTCCGAATGACACTCACCTGGTCATGTGGCCGTGTTCCAGGTGGAGGTTTATGTTATTGCATGGAGGAGTGAGCTCGCTGGTGCAGCTTTGGCCCCTAAGCTCTGCTGTTCCCGGCTGAAATGTCTGCGGCGTCAGCAGTGGGGGGCGCTGAGCGGAGCGAGGTGGGGTGGAATCTCCTCCTGCTGGTGTTCTCCCTCTTTCTTCTCTCCAGGCCGTGCCAAATACTTGTCATAGACAGACATTTTTTGTGTCTTCAGGCATCTCATACACAGATTAGAGGCAGCCTAGAAACCAAGGAGGATATTGAACCAGTCAAGAACCAGTCTCCATAAGATCTAAAAAATACCATCAACCCAGAACACAAAAACCCAGTGCCCTCAGAGATTTCTGAATGGAAGGTATAAATGCAAAATTGGAAGAAGAGAAAGTAAAAAGCTCTACAGGGAGAGACTAATGCAAATTAAATATGAAATATACTTTTAGGCAAACAAAACAAAACCAAGAATGTCACATAGGGGAAAGCATTGCTCTCTAATCCCCGCCAAAAAAATGCAAAGAGGGAACCGACAGATGGGCTGTCAGCTGAACAAAGGCCTCCTGTTCATTGGCCTTCCTTCGCCCGCTTGGTTTTTCTGAGGGTTATGTGACTAAACTCTCTTTATTCACATCTAAGGCAGTGGAAGTCATTAGTGTCTTCCAAACCAAAGTACATCAAAGCCATGGCCACTGGGGTTCTCTCCCTCCTTGGCCGTGGCTGCTTGGTTGGAAGGAGGCGAGTGTGAGGGCTGTGGTCTCTGGGGGGGCTCTGTTCAGGGAGGGCTCTGCTGCTCCCCTGCTGGTGCTGAAGGTGGGATAGCAGCTCCCTCAGTAGCAGGAATCAGGCATTGCCTCCTTTCTGATTAATTCCACCCCAGCCCCAGCCTGTGGCACAGTGCCGTTCAGTATGTTCATCCCCCTCTTAGTCAGTCTCCATAGAAACAAACCTTGCCCCCAGCTACACTCTAAAACCCCAGACCAGTCTAGGCATCCCTCAGTCTAATCTCGTCTAGAGTCAGGTTCCACAGGCTTCTTCTGTTCCCCTCATAGTAGCGGAGATTGAATCTAGGCCCTCTCATCTGCTCCCTGCTCCAATTTAAAAAAAAAAAATGTTTTTAAGGTTTGGAATAGGGTACCAGTAAGTTTCCCAGGCTGGCCTTGAGCTGACTATGTAATCCAGGCTGGCTTTGACCTGACTATGTAATCCAGGCTGGCCTTGACCTGACTATGTAGTCCAGGCTGGCCTTCTCCTGACTACGTAGCCCAGGATGACCTTGACATGACTATGTAGCTCTGGCTGGCCTTGAACTCAGTGCTTTTGCCTCAACATCTTAGCGTTCCCTGCTTTTGTTGCAGACTCACCCAGGGTGAGATCTAGACCCTGGATGGCTCCAAGGGCCAGCTTCCCCTTGGCTTCTAGCTGCCTTCTTCCTTTACTGGCAGGGTGAGAAGGTCACCTATGTGACTGGATAGTGGAGACCTGTAGGTGGTGTGGCTCTGTCTGCCTGTTCCCCCCCTCCACAGACACTCGCAGCACACCCTTTCATGTCTGTGCTTCTGGAGACTGTGACAGACCAGCTGGCTGTGTGACAGGATTGAAGTCCTTCCTCCATGGCCAAAGGCCTTCTCCTTCTGAGGTGACCGGGCCCAGCTCCCAGTCCAGTTCCTCAGTGTCTCTTCGTGGGAGTCTTGCTAAGGAGCAATGCCCAGCGGTGGGGTTTTCTCAATGGTGGTAATGTTGTCTGTCCCTTCTCTACAGCACGGTAGCCACTAGCCACGTGAGGCTATCGAATGCCTGAAGGGAGGCTAAAGGGACTAACAGGTGGGATTTGATTGTAAGTAACAGAAATAACATTGTCAAATACGGTCAGGGGCTGTCCTGGCTGGCATAAGTGTGGGTGATTGGTAAGGAAGCTGATTTGGGCTTAGGCTTTGGGAATCACGTTCCATAGACAAGCAGACTCACAAGGTCTCAGGAGGTTCTTAGCTTTCCATCCTTGCTCTTTGAGGGTTGCACACATGCACAGGACTGGGCAACCCAATTCTAACTATGTAATATCCGAAGTGTGCCACGCTCTGAGACGTTTTCAGCGCCTGACTCAAACAGGTGTGGACTCGGGCACTTTTCCAATGCCTTGTTTCAGATGAGGTGTGCCGGACAAGTCAAGTTTGTGTAGATGTAGACACTAAAATCTGAGAAGCTCTGGTTCTGACATACAAGTGGCCCAAGCATCTCCCCTGCAGGAGAGGGTCCTGGAAGGTGAGATCTCCCTTGACTGGTGCCTGCTCCCCTGAGAGTCTCCCTGCTTGCTGTCCAGCTGCTGGGGTCTTGGTCGGTTCATTAGGCTGGCTGCTGTTTACGCCTCTCCGTGGGGTTTGACCTTAGCCTGAGAGCTCATGGGAAAAGACTTAAAGCAGTGTGTGCTGCCTCAGACTGCCTAGGACTCAAAGACTATATCATTGTTAGAGGATTGCCCACACGTTCCTGTGTCCCCACATTTTGTCTGGTCCCCAAGTCACTGTGACGCAGCTGCTGGTCCAGAGCCTGCAGTCTGAGACCGTGTGTTTTGTGGCATCAAAGCTAAAAAGGAGATAATCAGACACTCTCCTTTTAGCCTTTTGTATTTTCCTAAGTGAATGGTTTTGTTTGTTTGTTTGTCTTTTAGTTTTTGAGAGAGGGTTTCTCTGGGTAGCCCTGACTGTCCTGGAACTCGCTGGGTAGACCCGGCTAGACTTGAACTCAGAGATCTGCCTGCTTCTGCCTCCTGAGTGCTGGGATCAAAGGTGCGCGCACTACCATGCCCTGTTCATAAAGGCCAGGGTCATGAGCAAATGATTCCTTAAACAAGTTGACAACAAGGCTGAGCTAAACCATTTTTAAAAGATTTGCTTACTATATGTGTGTGAGTGTTTTTCCTACATGTGAATGCTACAGGTATGTGTCTGGTATCTACAGAAACCAAAAGAGGACCCTAGATCCCCTGAAGCTGGAGTTCCAGATGGTTGTGAGATACCGTGTGTTTGCTGGACGCTGGACCCAGGCCCTTTCCTCTGTTCTTCACCGCTGAGCCTTCTGTTAGCCCCTGAACTAAGCTCTGTTTATTCAGACTTGCTGGCATTGGTGGAAGCTGCACCAGACTAGAACCTTACTGCTCATCATTACATCTCTCACCAAGGTTGCTGCCTTGCCTAGAATTCAATAAGGGTGGGTCTTGGGGTCCTTAGCACTGAAATCAGCTTACTCGAGAGCCCTTCACATGGGCCGGAGTGTTGAGCAAGTGTGAGGTGCCAACTACCCCAGAAGCTTAACAGGACCCAACAGTAATCTCCACCCATATTTTATACGTTTAGAGACAGGATCTTTGTATCCCAGGCCACCTGAGACCTCCCTGTCTTCCTGCCTCTGCTTCCCAAGTGGTGGGATTGCAGGTTTTAACTGCCCACCCCCCGGTAAGGATGAGATCATCCACACAATTTTTGAGCCAAATTTGAATCAAGCTTTATTAACTACTGATCATGATGATGGGCACTGGCCAGGTCCATACCAGGGATTCCCACTGAATGGCTGTGAATTACTTGTGTCCCTTGCTTATAAAGGCAGAACCCACAAGGCTCTACACTTCCTCCCTTTGTCCAGTTGGGGGCAAGCATACATCCTGATGTACCTCCTGCCTGCGTGTGATCAAGCCCCTCCTGTGCAGTTGGAGCAATCAACCTTGTTTGCCAAAGTGGAAACATGTGGCTTGTTCCCTTCACGAACAACAGCCCTGTTGTTCCCGTATCTGTCTTTGGGCAAGTGGGGCTTACAGGTTAGAGGCGTTTTTATTTTCTAGTTCTCTTAAGCACAGGAATTTAAACTTAAAACATACCTGTAGCCTTCAGAAGGCACCCAGATACTATTTGAGGATCATAATAAATTATAAAATTGGGGTGTGCCTGCCCCTTCTTCGTCTCTGCATTCTCCCCTGCCTCTGTGAACTTTAACTGTTAGCCTTCTAGCTCATATTGCTGAACTTTCTCACACCCAAAAGTAACGCTTTTTTATGTTTGTTTTTCAGGTATTTGCTCAGGTCCTTGGAGTTAGTTTTCCTTTGAGGTCCTTGTTGAGTTCATAGCTAGTTCGTTCCTTAAAGTGGCCACACCCTCCTTAACCTCCTCAGTAAAGTAGCCTTCCTTGCTTTTAGTTGTCTCTGTGATCGGTGGCTGCAGTGAGCTGCCCTGCCCTGCTCCCTGGGCTCTCGGAGTTTGAACCTTGTAGTGCTTTCCCAGGTACAGTCTGGGTCTCATTATCGAGCTGCGACAGGAATTTAGTACATTCTGCCCACACTCAGAAAGTGAAAAGTAATTGAGTGTCGTTATACGTGTTAAATTGGTTTTTTGAAACTATTGTTTAGTTTATGAAAGAAACGGGTGCGTGTGTAAATGTTTGTGCTGGCTCCCAAGGGGAACTTTGTCCTTGTAAGTTATGGCTAAAGGGGTAAAGGGAGCCTTAAAGTTCCCGCCTTTCACACCTCCTTTCAGGATTCAGTTAAAGACACCATGAGAAGCTAAAGGGGAGCTAAAATCTGCGGTAAAGAAGTCTGCTCACAATGGGATCCGTCTGTCCATGTTTCTTTATTCTTTCCTCTTTCAATCCTTGTTTTCCCTTCTCTCTTCTCTCTTGTTCTACGTGTTACAAACATTCACATATTTCCTTAAAACCAGCAAATCCCCAGTCCTAGCAGGTTCTAGGGCCAGAATTATTTTGCCCCATAAAAAAAATCAGATAACGGTTTTCACGCGCGCGCACACACACACACACACACACACACACACACACACACACTCTCATACACTAATAGATTTTCTGTAATGATATAATAGGTTTCTCAGCTGACATAGTAAACCAGATTAAGGCAAACTGAAAAAGGAAAAGAACAGGTTTATTTGAGTAAAA